CACACTGCTTCCAAATCATCTGGATTTCATAAAACTTACCCACAGTGTGGAAGGAGGGCAGGGAGCAGAGCACCACAACAGTCTCGGGGCCGCAGCAGCGAAGCCACACTAATTAGAAAAAAATCTGGAAGTCTGGGCCAAATACAAAAACCACAAGAGCTTACAGAAAAAACAAGCACACAGACATAGTCAGTGTTACAGAGGGTAAAATTTAACCACAAAAAGCCCACAGGCTCTTCTGTAGAAAGAAACGACGACGCAATGCGACAACGAGGTAACCGAACGACAGATGACGCCTACTGTGTGACGATGAAGCACCGGGAACCCGCCGCCACGGGTCCGCTCCACTGCCCGGCCACTCCACGTGTGTGAGCGGAACTGTGAGCTACAGGGTTAACAGCTGACTTTTAAAAGCAGACGGCCACGCCTGTCTCCCAGCGACCATCTGCACCACCCAGGGATTCTGATTATCAATTACCAGGCTCAAAATACTTCACACGGCTTCTCCTACCCAAGACAACAGCCTTGTGAAGTAAGTACAGCTGTTAGCACCACCTTAAAGGCAGGGAACTGAGGTGTCCAGTGGGTAAGCAATCTGCGTAGGGTCTCGTGGCACGTCGTGGCAGTCAGGACCTGCGCTGTGGCAAGGACCCAGAGCTCAGGCGTCTGACCCTGGGCAGCACTGCTCCCGGCTGTACTGTCACATGAGCTCTGCTAGAGATGCAGCCCGAGACAGGCTGACAGCTACAAACCGGGTCGGAGGCGAATCCCCTTGCCCCATATGCCGACCTGCCACTTAAACTGCATCCTTGAAAGCAAATCTGCTCTAGTATTACCAATTTATGTATAGCTACAGTACACGTGGGGTCGCTAGGAGTCAACATCGACTCGACGGCAATGGGTTTGGTTTTCGTAAGGGACATATCAAGGAGCCCTGGTGGTGCAACAGTTAAGCACTCAGCTGGTAATGAAAGGTCAGTGGTTCAAACCCACCAGCGGCTCCTTGGGAGAAAAGGCCAAGTGATCAGTTCCCAGGAAGAACACCACCCAGGAAACTCCAGGGAGCAGGGCAGTTCTTCTCGGCCACGTGGGGTCTCGGCCCCGTGGGGTCTCGGCCCCGTGGGTCTCAGCCACGTGGGGTCTCGGCCACGTGGGGTCTCGGCCCCGTGGGTCTCAGCCACGTGGGGTCTCGGCCACGTGGGGTCGCGATGAGCTGGGACTGACGACACACGACCACAACCATGGCGCACATCGGCCACACAACCGTACAGCTATCTTAGCAATGTGTCTAAGTTACTTTTGCTGCATCTTTCTGGCAACTATCTACGAGGTAATATATAATCACCTATCTTGACAGACGACCCAAATCTCAGATGTGACACCTTCAGAACTGAACTCTGGATCCCCGCCACCAAAACCGGCCCTTTTCAGTGCTCCTACCTGAGTAACCCACCTTCAGGAACAACCTCCACCTACCAAGCTGCTCCAGACAGAGCCACCACTCACTTTGCTCGTCCCCTGTCACCCACTATATCCGATTCACTAACCATCCAACACTGAGTCATTCAACGGATACGCATCGGCCTCTGCTGGATACCAGGAACTGGGCCCTGCCCTCAAAGGGCGCCTGCTCTAGCAGGGGGTTGTGTGTTCTGCACCAAGACAGACGTCACTAGTCGCTTCTCTGCCTCTGCCACTTCCCCGTTCCCAGCCTGCAGTGCCTCCCATCTGGGAAGCTAGGAACAGCGCACATACTAGGCCCTGTGGCTGGACTTCTGAGCCCTTGAATCCACGTGCCATGAAGTCGTGAGAACACATTTCATACTGTGCTGACCACACGGCACTTACTTAAGCTGCTTCCCCGGATCCTTACTTCAGTTGTAATAAAACCCACAGCTCTATCAGGCCCACGGCCACAAGACCCCACCTCACATTAGCAAGCAGCCGCCTGTGTGTGTGAATAAAGCTTTACTGGCACACAGCCACACTCACCCACTGGTGTGTCGTCTGCGGCTGTTTTCCCCCTACAGGGGCAGAGTCGAGGAGCTGTGGAGCAGACCATAGGGCCCACAAAGCCAGGAAAATTTACAACGTGGCCCCTCACAGAAAGTATGCTGCCTCCTGCCCTCCATGACCTGGTCCGGGCCTACCTCTCCAGCCCACCTCAGACAGCTTTCCCTTCCACCCTGGGCTTCAGCCATCAGGTCTGGAGAGCCAAGGCTTCCTCCCGCCCGAAGCCTCTGCACAACCCCTCCTCTGGGCCTCCCCACCCATCTCTCTGACATCACACCCTCTTCAAGTCTCACCTTCTAAGTCATCACGTCCTCAGAGAGGCCTCATGGACCTCCACTCCTATTACAGAGCTGACACACTCACTACATCCACGCACGGACAGGGATCGATGCTGGTATTTCCTGCATCATGCCTTTTGGCCCAGTCCCTCAGAGGCATGTACAGGCAGTCCCTGGGTTACGAACGTCTGACTTACTTATAGCCTGTACTTATGAACCAAACCCCATAAAGCCCACTATATTAAAAATTCCAGGTACATACAATGGTTCATAATAACAAAGGAGTGCTACTCGGGAATGCACATCAGAACATTATTATTGTTTCTTTAACGTTTTTTATGCATAGAAAGGTACACTGCGTACTAGATACTAAGACAAACATTCGACTGATGTTAGATATAAACCATACCTAGCTGTTCTGACGTACGCACAAATCCGACTCAAAGTCAGACTTAGGAGAGGAATTCATTGGTAATCCAGGGACTGCCCGTACTGACAAGGGCGTGGACTGCTCAAGAACACTGCTATCCTTGTTGGGAACAGAAAAGAACTTTCACCAGGTAAAAAAGAACATTCATGAGACCCAAATCCACACTTAGTCCCATTAAACCTGTCGTATAAGCTAAAAATAAATCAACCACCTCTTTGAAATCTTACTCAGATCAACCGTACCTACTCTGACTAAATCTCGATTCTCTTTCAAAAAATATTTTTAATTTTCTTCAAGTTTTAATTTATACGGTAAGACGCGCGAAAGCGGAAACCTGTGTAAGGCAGCAACCTGTCAGAGAAGGAAAACTCAAATACTTCCCTCTACCAGAAAGCAACAGAAAAGTGGTGAGACTGCAAGGCAGGCCCGGCTCTCACTGCTTCCCTACGCGCGCCATCTCCCCACGCGCGCCTTCTCCCCACGCGCGCCATCTCCCCACGCGCGCCGCTTCTCTACGCACACTATCCACTGAGGAAAATACTTTAAAGGGCCAGAAATAAGAACAAATTAAAAATCACTTCTACGCTGGGGAGGCTCCCCCACCTTACAGATGGGCACGTGTTTGTGTCCCCAGGAAGGTGAGGAGCAGGCTGGCATTCGGTGACTGACACAGGGACGAGAGCCCGAGTGGAAGCCCCCCCACCTGCCCTGAGCTGCACAGGAGACAGGGTGAGACGGGGTTGGGGAGGAGAGTGGGTTGGAGTCTGTATTCCCAGATCCACCGCAGACGGACACATCGGCCATGTTTGCCAACCTGGTTCTGACGGGTAAAAGTTCATCTTCTGATTTACATCTAACTCCATCTGCTGTTACAATTCCCCATTAGACTTCAATTCTACAACCCTATATCCCAGTTAGAAATGCTATTAACATTGTTATTTCCCAGCTTTTTCTACAAGTCTCTTTTTAAATGTCTCTGTTGGTAGAGAATACAAGAAAAATACTAGAGATATAAAGATCAAAAAGTGGAAAATGACACCCCATTTTTCATTAAATCTCAGGAACATACAGTAGGCATTCGATACTCACTTCCGGAATAAATACTATCTTAACATTTAGCCACCGGTTTATTCCAATGCTAAGTTAAAAAAAAAAAAAAAAAGGCCTAGTTTTAGAAGTACTATGATATCCTGAAGTTTGTCCCCCCGTGGCCTTCTAAACTAGGTTAACAGGGATCAGTAATTGTACTACACAGATGCTAACCATACCTCCTTATCACAAACCACAAGTACTTTCATGACAACAAGGATTCGAAGGTCACTTACATTCTTCTAACAAACTACTTTCCACTGAACATGTACAAAGAGAAGTCTGTGAACCCTGTGTTACCCTCTTACGCTTCTTTGTATGCCAACTCCCTCCTTTCGTCCAGAGATGAGGACTGTTAGGGTACGAATTCTCTCGTTTTCGCTGACCCTCTACCTTACCAGCCATGAGGTGCTTTTCTAGTGATTGCTCTTTCCCGATGACGTGCCCAAAGAAAGCACGCAGAAGTCTCGCCGTCCTCGCTTCTAAGGAGCATCCTGGTTCTATTTCCTCTAGGACTGACCCGTCCGTCCTGTTGGTGTCCACACTGTATCCGACACCACAGGTGGGGCGCACTGATTCTTGCCCAAGAACTTGACGTGGACTGTTTTACATCCACTGCCACAGACCGGACTCGAACGCCAAGAGCTCCTGGAGGGTGGTCCCACCATCGGTGCTACCAGAAGTGCAGGCCGCCCAGGTGAAGAAGGCCATTTCCAGAGCTCCACTCCCTACCTTCTGGAGAGAATATCTGGGGATCGGGCCCAGAAATCTCGGTGTGATAAGCTACCCAATGATTCTCACGTGCACGGAAGTGTGAGCAAGCCTTCTCAGACCCAGCCGTGATGAGGTGACAGATCTACTTTCGTGTCCCAGCAGACTAAGCAGTTTCCTAGGGTGCCACTGCTTTCTCCCATCTTGACGATGCCTTTCCACTGTTTCTGTCTGAGCACCAGCTGCTCAGCCTCAAGGCGTCCCTCGCCCTGACTACATTTTCAGAGGAAGAGATCACCCCTCACCTCACTGGGCCCGAGCACAGTGGTTTCACTCACTAACACCATTCCTCTCCCCCCGCAAAAACAGAACTGAACACGCATCTCGGCAGGCAGTCCAGTCCTCCCACACAGCTCAACGCTGACCCACTACTGACTTTGTGTTTAGACAACAATTTCCACATCCTGATTCTGTCCTACCTTTGCCGCAACAATGCTGAGGCCCATTCCATTCTGCTTTTTGAGGGTCACAGTGATTATTTCAGGTTCTTTCCTCAGAGGCTGCGCCTAAAGGATGAAAACAAGACTGATTTTATGAGTGAAATAACTTCTACGTGGTTAGACAACTCGTGATCTAGTCAATCGTACGCACTGCGGTGAACGGGGAAAGAAAATGAAAAAGGGCAGGAAAGGAAAATTGTAAAAAAATCAAAGAATACAGATACCTTCATGCATTAATCTAGTAAACTAAATATTGATACTCTTGACTCAGAGAGTCCTGAAGATGAAGCTAATCACAAACGCTATTTAAGTATCATTTGAGGAACTTACTTTATAAAACAAAAACTAAAGTTTAACTAGAGCCCTGGTCTAGTGTTAAAAAATCTGATTACCAAGAAAAATTCAATTTTACCGAATTACCCTTCAAAACAAATAACCCAATTTTGCTTTTTTCAAAGAAATCTAACTTCATCTTATACTGTCTATGCAAAGGGTGGCAATGAACAGTTAAAACAAAAATGATCTAACGTCTTTGTCTCTTGGGAAAATGCAAGCTATTTTAAACAGAATAAATGAAACAACTACAGGACTGAGACAGTATTCTGAGTTCTCTGTTACGACGTAAAGTCCACTTGGCTGGATAATCAACCTGAAATTACAAAACTACAGCCCAATAAAACATGTCCATTATTAAATAGATTCATAAAAGACTGAGAAAATGAAATTATCCTTTGAAGTTTCATGGTATATGCATGTCATACCCCATTGCCAAAGAGTCAACAAAAATAAAGAGGAACATTAGCAGTGTGCACACACTGAGGACAAAGCTCCCTGAATAAACACATGAGCACAAAGGCACACTGCTTGTCAGTCTACAAGGAAAACGGCTGAAGGCCTGCGAGAGGGTATTTTGAAGGAAATAAGACTAGATGACATTATAACTTAAAAAGAAATCAAAATCTGAAATCTCCTGAGGAATCTGTGAATAAACTAGCAAGATAAAGAATGAGCAATTCCAGCTAAGAAGCTACTTTGTTTTTCCATAAAATCTGGGAATTAGAAGTTGCTGCTGTTACTTGGAATTCAACAAACAACAGCTAGTAAGGTCAATAAAAAGCATTAGAGGTACGTGCGCTTTATCAGCAAGTTACATGTGGTCACATATTGGTATCAACAATCATCAATTAATTTAACTTTCGGAGAATGGACATGATACATGCTCAAACCTAAGCATGGTAGCAAGCAAAAATAAATGAATTTCTTTTAATTTACTATACAGAACATGCATTATACTCTTCACCATCCATGAAGTATTGCCACCTTACAGCATCTGTTTTCTTGGAGATTAGGTAGTAACAGGCATACTTTTTTGATTGCCTCCCAATTAACAATTTAGGATGGCACACACAAAGCCTTTGGAGCTGCAGAAAACTTATGAGTTGTTTTCACATTCTAGAATCCTTCAATCCTGGCCCTGGCACACTGGTCTATTTCCATTCCTTCTGGGAAAAGTGGATAGGTGAGTAAACTACCACCCCAATCACACCTGGCAGACCGACCCCTCTCCATATTAACCCTGACTCGTGGCAATATCTGCTTGCTCCTTTGAACTATTAAGTGGCTTGAAAGATGAAAAAGGCATTTATACAAAATTATTAAAGGTTTAAGTGAGAAAGAAAAAAGTATAAAAAGGAAGAATTTCATTTGTTTATAGCTTCTCTGGACTGATATGATGTTAAACAAAGGTATGTGAGTATTTGTAGTACAAGTCAAATGTGAGTTGACATCCCTTTCTAAAACAAGGAAAAGCATCATTTTTTTCTTTAAAACTTTCTATAGGAAGCAAAATAGAACTTTCTTAAAATTTATAAAGCCAGGTAATACTGTGACTTATCAGTCTTTCAAAAAAAATACAACATATTAGTAAATGAGTTGACATATACTTAAAACAAGGTAGAAATAACTGTAACAGAAAATATTTTTGCCAAAGAAAAATATTTTTCTAATAGACTGATAAGGCTGCCATATTAATAGACTTTTTGCTGGTGTAACTGTGGGCACAAGTATTCCTTTTTTTAAAAAGTACCATTTGTTTATAGATAAGCCTGTAGAGACATAGCCTAAAGGGGGCAGGACACATACATGCATACATACGTACATATATAACAACAAGTATACCCATCATGGGTTTCAGATTCCTGTGTAAAAACAAGCAAGGGTAATTTAAAAAGTTCCCATCACAACACTGTTTACTGTGTGCAAGAACTAAATTACATCAAGTTTTCACATCATGAGAAAGACACTTCTCCTTACAGTCCACCTGTCATCCTCAAAATACTTACCAGTTCTGTGTTCTCACGCATAAGGTGACTTTCATAATCCGCACCTTCAAAATATATGGTCCAAGTACCTGGTGAGCGCAGGTGGGGAATCAGCCTGCAAAATCCTGAGGAGGAGATAAGGGGGTGAGGAGAGTGAAGAGGTGCACCACGCCCATAACGGCCTTCCATGAGGACACGGGGTCAATTACCATCTGCTTAATATCCAATGACAACACTTATTTTTCTTAATCTAGACCCTTATTTCCTCTGAAAACTGAATTATCAGACATTTAAAGTCCTAACTTTGTTTTGCTCTTATACAATTTCAACACCAGGCAGGAAAGTGAACTGGTCCCACCCTCTACCAGGCTCCAAAAGCACCTTCTGGAGCTGCACTGTAGTTGCTTCCTCTCGGCTCTGTCCACCCCACTGGCCTAAGTGCTCCTCACCAGCGCTCAGGAGATGCACTCAGCGAAGGAAAAAGAGGGAGGGGACCAGAGGAAGTCAGTGATGGGGGTGTCCCCCCACGATACTGGACATCATCTGTAAAACTCTGCACTACTCTTGGTGCCAATTCTCTTACAAGTCATGTTCCTTTATTTTTACAAATAAATTTTAGAATCATAAAGTTTTAAAGGCTATCTTTGATATTTTTATTGGGGACAAATGACATCTTTACGAAACTAAGCCTTTCAATTTAAAAAACACTAGTTTTCATTTACTCAAATCTGACTTTTGTTCCTCAGTAATTTTCTGACAAAAGTCGTATCACTCAGGCCTTGTACAATCTTGTTGCATTTTCTCAACGTGACCTCTGCCGACCACTGTCTGCAGGCCTGGGCAGCAGTCTCACTAACCCTCACGGTGGGGGCACGGGGACGGGGGCGCATGCATGGGGATGGGGCCAAGATTGCGGGGATGGGGGCACGTGCATGGGGATGGGGCCAAGATTGCGGGGACGGGGGCACGGGAATGGGGGCGCATGCATGGGGATGGGGCCAAGATTGCGGGGATGGGGGCACGTGCATGGGGATGGGGCCAAGATTGCGGGGACGGGGGCATGTGCATGGGGACGGGGGCACATGCATGGGGATAGGGCCAAGATTGCGGGGATGGGGGCATGTGCAGGGGGATGGGGCCAAGATTGCGGGAACGGGGGCACGTGCATGGGGACGGGGGCACATGCATGGGGATGGGGCCAAGATTGCGGGGATGGGGGTGTGTGCAGGGGGATGGAGCCAAGATTGCGGGGACGGGGGCACATGCATGGGGACAGGAGCAAGATCACAGGGACATGGGCGTGAGCATGGAGATGGGGTGTGTGCATGGGGACAGGGGCAAGATCACGGGGACGGGGTGGGTGCACAGGGACCAGGGCGCGTGCACAGGGACGGGGGCCCAGGGTCTCAGCAGCACTGGCTGGTACTCCTTCCCCTCTGTATTTCATCAGCAAGTATGATTCTGACTGTTAAGTTTGGACACTTATGAGACTGTGCTTACAAAAAAAAGTTGTCAAAAATCACATTCAGTTAAAATAAGGATATAAAGTAATTCTGTTTAGTTCTTTTTTTTTTTTAAGTAAAAATTACTGTTTCAGCCTAGTTTCATTAAAATATAATCCACAACTTGCTTCTCTTTCACATGTTTCAGGGAATGAAACATTATCAAGGTTGAAATTTCACCACTTGCAGATTATTTTCTCTGACAAATGTCAGGTTTCATACCAAGTCCTAAAGCACACTGCAAATCAGCATGATGCTTTATTAGCTAAAGGGGTGCATTTCAAAGCAGGGGGGATCGACGCTGGTTTTACAGTCTCCTCCCACAGAGCTGTGCAGTACAAAAAGCTAACGGGATACAAACTGAGAACAGCAGTAGCTCTTTAACAAAGAACTGAGTGTGAAGAATGAAGGTGCTGGTGTCAGACAGGGAAACACCCTCTTCTCTCTCTAAGTCCTACAAAGGCCTCAGGTGCTAGGCTACATGGCCTGACATCATCTTACACGTATGTAATAATGGGGTGATGCCAAGGCTATGATGAAATCTCCACGTGCACCCGAAGACTGATCATTCGCGAGCGCCTTAAGGGCATCAAGGAGAAACTCAGTCAGGAAGTCCGGCCTGTTTCCCATTCGGCAAACATTTACACTGGGCACACATCACAGAACTGGCAGGTGCCTGCGTCCCATAAATTATACACATTTGCAAAGCGCTACTGCAAATCAGCCCTCCTCCATGTTCATTTTCAAGGTATTCACTCAAAACACATTTACTGAGCGCTTAGCAAGCAACAGGTGCCACATCATGGCTGAGAATCAGGGAAGAAGTGCAGACAAGCCTCCCTCGAAGCCCTCCTGACCAGCATGAAGACAGACATGCTGTGTGACAGGCACAGCAGAAGCGCGGAGGAGGAACCGCAACGCCCCAGGAGAAGGGAGGACCGACTCCTGGGGAAGCGTGTCGGGTGTGAGGCAGAGGGGGGTTTTCGAGAAACAGTGGCGCCCAGCTGGAATGTAAGAAGATAAACAGCAGGCAGTGTGCCGACAGAGCACAGTTCTGCGGCTCACAGCTCCCCCTTGATCAACGGGGTCGCCTGTGCACCCCGCGGGGGGACTACGATGGTGGGGTGGTGTCATGCTCCCTTGTGTGGTTTTTCACCCCTAGGGGTGATGGGGACAAGCTCCCGGCAGGAGAGCCCTAAAGGAGCCAGCTGAAAAGGTCTGGCGGCCGTATGGAGGGAGGAGGGGAAAGTGGAGAAGCTGGCGAGAAGAGCTGAGAGGGGACCGACCCCAGTGGCGACCAGCACAGGACACACATGCGTGAAATGCATGAGGCGCGTGGCCGATGGGCCTGGTCCCTGATTTGCTGAGAGACGGTGTGCTGAAGACCTTCCAACAGTCCTGAGGGGACACGGAACTGGCCGCTCAGCAGCTCTGACTGCTGCGCCGCGTCCACCGCCATGCTGGCGTAGAGGCCCCGTGCGCCCACCCGCCCGGCCAGTCACTGGGCGTGCAGCAGGGCCACGTGCAGCAGCAGGACGCCAGGCTCAGGACGCCCACCGCCCGGACAGAGCTCGCTCGGAGCTGCGCTGCAGACCTGGGCCCCTCACCCTCTTCACCGGGGCCAGGCCCGCCCCAGGACCGAGGGCTCCCTTCCCATCCCTGCTGCCATCCCCGTCCCTCACGTGTGTCCAATCCTGTCTCGGTACCTGCTTCTCTGAGGGCCAGAACCGAGTCCAGAACCACCCGCATCCGCTGAGCACTACAAGGACAACCGCGTTCCCCAGCTGTTCTGCAATGGACGCATTTCACCAGAAGCAGCGTCCCTTGTAAAAGGAATTTTTAACTATCCTTTGCAAAGCACGCTCGCTAAACTTACGTATCTGTGGGCGTAAGACCTCAGTTTTACTATTATTATTTTTATTGTTTAAGCTAACATCTAAATCTTGGGTCTATTTTTCCACTCATTTGAACTACTCTCCACCCTACAAAAAAGCAGCAGAGCAGGAATGAACTTGGTGTAATTCAAAAGCTCATGCTTTAGGAATAATTGTGGTATTTTCTCACCAATATACATCAACAAGAAAATGTATCAGAGATGACAAAATAACGTTTGTGAAATAAGCTGTACTGAAACTCTGCAGAGCTATAAAACCTTTCACATATAAAATGAGTCTGTGAAGTTCACGATACGCGTGAGTCGGTTACTGAGCACGCGGGAACGCGTCGGCCTGGCTAACGTGACAGCACTAACTCCAGGACTCTGCTGGTACCTTACAACCACCCCACAAGACGGCTACTGTCAACACCTCCATTTCACAGATGGGCAAGCTGAGGCACAGAGCTGACCTGCTGAGACAATCCAGCTTGTCGGGGACAGAGCTGGGGTTAGAATGTGGGCAGCCTGGTTCCCAAGCTTGTGCTGCTCTTAGCTACTCTGCTCTACTGGGATCAGTGCAAAGTTTACAATTTTGTTCTCAGCGGATGAGTCAACCCACTCTGCTCATCAAATACCAAGGAGGCAGGAGGAATAAAAGGCCCCATGTTGCCAGTCCGGGTAGGTAAGTCCAATCCTGACACTGACTGAGCAGAGCAGGTGCTCACTGCTAAGGGTCACAGTATCTCTACAAAAGCTCGTGCTTGGAAAGTTCCAGCCCATCAGCACACTGACTTCTCTGAACGCACTCACACACTAGTGGACTACCGTCCTACAAGAACACACAACTGATAAAACGCTGACTGCGACCTTGGTCCCTCTCGAGACTGCAGCACAGCAAACGGGACTTACCTCGCTGGCACAGGGGGTCTAAGAATTCTTGTAAACCATTTGGAATGTTTCTGACAACATCACAAGAATAGCCATCTTCTGGCAGCAGGAAAGGCAGCTGGAGATCAGGATCCTCTTCCAGCTGCACCTCCCTCCCATCGCTGCGAGCTAACTCGTCGGCGGTATTCTCAGCGACAGCCACTACGTTTTCTATAAGATCCTGGACATGAAGGCAAAATTGAAAAGAAACACTCAGTGATTCGTGTAGGCGACCAACACTCATTCAAAAGAAAAGTTTAATCCTGTAGCACGGCCTCTGGCGTGGACACCACACACGCGCGCAGGGTTACGGAGGGAAACAAATCAGCGTGCGCAAAATCAGCTTTACACAGCAACGCAGCACCAGCGAATACGGACGCTGACACCAACATACAGATTACTTCCGAGTTAGGTGTGTTCTCTAAAAAACATTTTTTATACATAATACACACAGCCAATCAGGTGAGCGCGCAAGGTTAATGACCACCCTGTGCAAGAAACTACATGCTGCCACCTGAGACATCGCCCGTACCCATCACCGCCCCTCCTTCCCCAGAGGTCACCACGGCCCAACTTCACACCTGAGACACCGCCC